AATAATTTAAATTCGAATCAAAGCGAATTTGAGTACCCTACTATTCGTTCAAATACTCTACTATTCGTTCGAATATTCGCACAAGCCTACCTTTTATTACTACCAGAAACATCAAACAAACGTGCCCCATTACTTCATTTTGGTCAGTTCATCAATACGTGGCACAGTCGCGCTTAAAAAAAAAATGTTGGTGAGGGTCTTGCCAATCATAAAAATGGCTTTCCGGATCATATAAATGGCTTCGCGGAGCCCCATTTGAGAACCAATGCTTTAGAGAACTATGATGACTGTGGATCCGCTGTAGATTTCTTCCAGTATGTTTATATAGACTCCATCAATGCCCTGATTTCACAGTGCCCACAGACTGCTAATATCTAAACTGAATCAAATGCCTTCTAATAATCTATGGAGGCTATAAATAGGGGTTGGTTGTATTCCACGCATTTCTCTATCACCTTAGTGATAGTGTAAATAAGGTCTATTGTGGAGTAGCCTGTACAAAATCCTGCTTGCTCCTTTGGTTGATTGAACATTAATGTTGCCTCAATTCTGTTAGCTAATATTTTTGTAAATAGTGTGTGGAAGATGGGCAGTAAGCTGATCGGCCTGTGATTTTTCATGTTCTTGACGTCTCCTTTCTTGTGGATTAAGGTTATCTTGGCGTTCTTCCAAGATTCTGCTACTCTTCCCACCAGGGGACACTTCATGTATAAGGCTTTTCTAACACAATTTCTCCGCCATCTTTCCGCATGTCGCTATAGCCGACAAAGCAGTTGAACATTGCGCATTTCAAACAGCTTTGTAGTGGTGCCATACTTTCCGTGTTTTCCCTCGAGACAGCTTGTACATGTACGTCTTTGAAAGTGTTCATGCACATCATGAAAGGGTTATGTTAACACGCATGGACATTGTTTTGCCTGCGGCGCAGTTAAGGTGTCCACGGAAAAGTGGAGCATGGCAAGCTGATGGAATGCAAAATGTCGTGTTCAACTCTTGATGGTCAAGTCCAAGCATGCACCAATTCTTTTTCTTGTGAGGTGATGCTGTGATAAACCTATTTCTTGTCACACTAAGTTTGACATAACAAAGCAGCCATGTCTCCAGCATGCCTGGTTTCTATTATGGGGCCTCAAATTGATAATGAATGTATCAAAGCGTGTGCAATTTTCAATAAAGAAAATAAGTCGTGCTGTGATGCGCTACATTTTTTTCATACAAACTGCCTTTAAGCTGTTAATTAAAATGTTAGCAAGTCGTTTTTCGGTTGGTTTGTTAAAGTTGATTTGTGGGGTCGAATATTCTAAGAATCTCGGGCTATGTGAGACACCATTTAGGTTTCTTTAACCTTCCCTGAATTTGCACAATACGCGGACTTCCAGCAGTACGCCTCCATCGAAATGTGATCGTTATTGCCGAGGTTGAATAAGCATCTTTCGGGTCAGCAGCCAAGTGCTGTGACCACTGACCCACCGTGGGGATGATTAGTCTGGTAATTAGTTGTTTTAAAGCAACTTTAACTGTATCATGGTACTTCGGTGTTATTGTAGAGTTCGTGTGCAAAGACGACAGGTACCTCACTGTCATAGCATATTTATGGAAAACCACTTTCCAAAAACGCTCTGGAGGTTCAACTTTTGTTTCAACTTTGTCTTGCAGCATTTTCATAATCATGTCTTTTCACTTCGCCATCTCCACTCTAACTCATTGCAAAGGAACAGACATGCCTGTGTCATAATAAATATATCTCTGCGACCAGTAACTTCTTGATTAATGATGTTTACATGTTGCCGCAAGCAGAAGCTTGCATAGTTGTCATTCTTAAGTTGCATGCAGTGCGATATAACGTAGTAATGCAATGAGTGTTTTGGGTATGTGATGTGCAGGATGAGAAGTCCTTTCTCATTTCATTACACATTTACGAAATGCAACAGTTCTAGAGTGCAGCCAAAACCTTCAAACTTGTGAGATCAGTGCTGTTTTGTATGAATTCTCAATGGTCAAAACTATAAAGACATCTGTACTTTATTTTTCATGTGCTTTGTATCTAACTCAAATATCTAATTCAAAAGCTGTTTTGATGCTGTTTATTATTAATATTACTTTCAGGTGCAAATGCTTATAATTATAGATATTGTTTTCATTCTTTTTGTCTATGCTTCTACAATTGCATTTGGAAGCTTGATGTAGTTGCTTTGTAAGACTTAGTATTGCACATACACCTTCTTTTTTCTCACATGAGAATGGCAAAATTAGAAATATATGATTGGGTTTTAGCCAAATCTGCATTGCACTGCTAAGTAACTTGATCTCTACCTTTTCCACATCTATAGTGATCCGCTTTTTGTGATGCTGAACTGTGTAATGTGTAGTCCCTAGTAGCCGAGGGCCAAGACATGGCAGACATTTGTAGTCCATGCGGTTGTTTCGGTCATTGGTTGCGCCGCACCATCTCCATTGTAGAACAAGCCACAAATGTCACTGTCATCCAAAATTTAGTGCAATGCCAACACTTGTGTGATGCTGAGGCCCCTAAAGGTGCACTGTATGAAATTGACAATCATAGGTTGGGCGAAGTAGCAGGCAAGCGCCACATGGTATGCTGCACAACTTGATCGATATATGCGTACATGAAAATGCACGTGAGCATGAACTCGCTGTCTTCTCCGTTTACAGCGTCCTGATTTTTTCTATTCTTAACCTTGACACTTTTATACGACCAAGTAGTATGTAGATAGCAATGGCAGGGCTGTTAAGCTAATGTATGTCGAAATTTGGCCTATAAAACTCAACTTTTTTGCACGTTGTAATGTCAATTACACTCCAAGAAAGTTTGCTCACCCTGCAGAGCAAAAGCAATGACCAGCCAAGATGGAGGCTTTGGAAGTCATGGCATGCATGATGTGATATTCACCTTTTATTCTAAAAGGCATCCTCCTCAAAAATCCGCACTGGCATGTCATTCTGCATGACATTGAGCATGTATCCTTCTGCTTGGAACATTTATTTCCTGCTTTGCTTTGCACCATGTTGTACAACCTGCACTTCCGTAGGTATTCCTACTTCGCTGAAACGCTTGAGCTGGCTGTCTGTACGGGTAGAAAAAGCTCCAGGGACTTTAAGCCGGCTGATGACAAACTGGTTCGCTGTGGGTCACTGCTCGTACTCATTGCAGCCAGTATGAAAAACCAGGTGAAAGAAGGTTCGCACATGGTAACGTTTGCACCACTCTCTCTCCTTATTTTTATTTTCTTTTACCTCATCGAGGCTAGCTCATCGTTGGTGACTGCCGTTTTCAAGTGCTTTCATGCATGACTGCTGGTTTCTGTGAAAAGTGAGCGCGTCTATATCGTAGAGAGCAGTCAGCTGTTTTCAGTCATTTACTACCCCATTAAGAAGCATATAAAGAAATGCAAGAAAATGGTGGGTTTATGATGGCAATGGTGTGCAGTCGACTTCCAATGATTTGAAGCCACTTATTTTGAATTTCTTGTTAATTAGGAGTTAACAAGTGGTCCCGTCAAAATTGCATGCAGGCATATCAGAAAAATGCTCGATAATTTGAAGTTAAAATCCTGTAATCTTGGTTAATTAGAAGCTTTTCAGCCGAGAGCCTCAAGGCGATCGTAATTTTTCAATAAAATTGGGAATTTTTCATGTGCCAAGACTGCCGAGACAGCCATCCTCCATGGACTGCGCTTTTGTCGCCATTGCCATTGCCCGCGGCGCCAAGGTTTATGAGGTCGCCATCTTATTCAGTCAATGCCTTGGCAGAATAGAAAGTTGGGCGAGTTGGTGTATATTCATATTAAAAGGAAAGCGGCGCACAAAAAGACGGAGACAAAGAAGAGAACCACACACAGCGCTGCACTCACAACTGAAAGTTTAATCCGAGCAACAAGAATTTAAAAAGTAATAGCCGCGCATGACAAGTGAGGTACAACGAGATTAAATGATACGCTCATCAATAAAAGTGAACTCTTTTTTTGTGCAATGTAACCGAGGTCTGGCTTACGCAAGCATCACGTGACTTGTTAATATGATAGGCTTCAGACACCTCACGGGTGAATTGATCGTGGTGCTTAAAAATAATAACAGTGTTAGACAGATCAGGTGTGCACCCACACGTGGCACAATGCGAAGCCAAATGGGAAGGCGTGCCGTTATGCAAAGAGAGATAGTGCTCCCGCAACCTTTTATTGACACAGCGGCCCGTCTGTCCCACATAATGACGGCCACAAGATAAAGGAATGCGGTACACCACCCCCACATCACAAGGCACATACTTATTTCTATGGTTTACGGCACATTTCTTTACATCTGGCTTGTCCTTCTTGTCTAGCTGCTTTGACACCAATGCACATATCTTACCCAATTTATTGGGTGCCTTAAAAACCACATCAACTCCGTAGCGAGAACCAACATTTTTTAACCCATGTGCCAGTTTATGCATATAAGGAATTGGTGGTTTAAAAGGACGTGCAGCTAGGAAAATCAATCGGGAAAAAATGAAGTTCGCAGCAATTTCATTTTTAAGAACATAGTTAATAGTGGGTTTAGGGTGGTAGTGGCATACTTCAAACATGCAGTAGACTCTTACTACATGAAAGGACTGTGAAAATATGTTCCATTTAACCAGTTTTCTGTTTACTGAGAGATGAACATTGGTGCAGAATACAAGCCCAAAACCAAACGGAGCAGAGGCAATTGTTTGATTTAGGCAGTAGTTTCATTTAACATATTTCTGTTGACTGAGCGTTAACTGTATATGGGAGCTTCTTGGATTCACGGGAAAATGGTTAACCCTGTTGCCCTTGAGTCTCGTGTGCAGAGGGAAGGTAGTAGGAGCGTGCAGCCACGCCTGCACGCCCCTACTGTGGCAACTCATGGCAACTGTGCAACGGTGCTACAATGCATTACAAAAGACAGATTGTCCATATTTTAGTAAATTAATTTGGTACACTTGGCCAGCCAGACTGCCTTCTTTTTGAATCTCTTTGCAGCAATATTTAGGCTTTGCCTGGATACACGACTTGGTTGTCTACAACCATTGCGGCATGAACAAGGCGAAGCACAGACGGTGATAGATGTTGCCAGGCAACTGTTTTCTGCCTATCAGCAGCTGTACTATGGACTTCCCGTGTGGAAGTACGTGCCCACACCATCGTACCAGAGGTACACAAAGGCCGAGGATGTCCTCTACAAGTGGGTGTCACTGCTTTGCCATCCGTTCCTTGTATTACACCCTCTCGGTTGCTTTTGCAGAATAACACTGGACTACATGCAGCAGTATGCCAAACATGCACCACGCGATCAGAACGACAAGAGCCTTCTCCAAGCGCTTCTCGATTTGGATGGGCTTTCTGCGAAGGACATTCACCTGACAATTATGGATTTCATCATAGGTGGTGTTTTTACGGTAAGTCGCATACTATGTCTTCCCTGCTTAAAATTGAAAAAACACATGTAGCATAGATATGATTGAATGTGCACTTTCATGCATGCTCCACTGGTGTACTTGTATCTTGAGGGAGTAACATTGACTAGTATGACATTATGATGCTATGAAAGACTTTTTTGACACACTATTTTCTTCTTTGTGCCACCTAGACTAGCATTGCCTTGTGCTTTCTTCTACACCACTTGGCCTCCAATCAAGATGTGCAGGAAAAGCTCTACTCCGAGCTCAAATCTGGCAACATCAGTAGTTGTGCCTACCTTCGCGCATGCATAAAGGAAAGTTTCCGGTAAGTAGAGCGCTCATAACGGTTCACCAACTGCACGGAGGATTTATCAAAGGGAATGGCTATGATAACTTTATGCAAACCCCTAAGATCATTTCATTTAGGATCTCTGCTTTAATTTATTGTGAGCCACCAAACTTAGAGCACAGCATTGTACGTCACAGCATCTCAGCCAAACAAGTTTTCAAGCACACATTTGCACTAATATGTTACATTATTTCACCATTCATAGCCATTCTATTCTAGTGACTATTCTATTCTAGTGATTGACTGCTTTTACAACCTAATTGTGAAAAAATGCTGTTCATAATAATTGAAAAACTTTGTAATTGCTTTAAGAAACAGTAACTGAAAAAAAAAACATAATTACAATTTAATACCATATTTATAGACTTCCTGTGTTACATTGTGCTTTGCATTGATGTGAGCGACAGAGCAGTGTGGAGACCATATCGACATTTCTTTTACCGTTTCTCGGTTGTGGGCTGCAAATCTAGAAACTGGCGACAAGTAAAGCTGCCACATATTGTGTATATACTTCAGCTGCGGTGAGCAGGCACTGGAAACTTAGTGCTAGTTTCGGTTCCAAAGAACATGCACGCTCGTAGCGGTTACAGGGCATCTGGTTGAATGGAGAGAGGTTGATGTGAATGTTTGCATTTATTGGCTATCACAACTTTTTACTAATAAAAAAAATTTGATATTCCGGTAAAGAACTTCTCTTTTGTTTATATGTCTTTTCTTATTTCATGAACTTTTAATCAGGCGAAGCATGGTAAATGATTGACTTGCGTTTGTAGCGCTTGCCTTTGGTCCTTCTCACCCCTCGCTCGGCGATATTAGCAGTTGGATCGCACACAGTTATCTCGCTCAGTTGGCGCGTCAACTATGAGAAAGATAAAGGAAGCAAGTAGTGGCGGGCAGAGAACGGAAGTGGCAATGAGCTACCCTGAGTAGGTCAACCATGCATTCGATGAAGATCGCTTAATCGGGCAACACATGTTTTCCACAACTTTGTGGTGTGCTTACGCGAGGATTTTTATTTGAGCAGCTATTGATCTTGCATGAGTACATAAGAGTAACTCAGTTCTCTGCAAGCCTGACTGGACTGACAGAAGTGCAGCGTCGCTTGACTAATTGGTGAAGACGGCAGCCAAGCTCCTGTCAGGAAAATGCGTTTATTGAAAGGCTTGAACTTGAGTTGGCTCGGCGATGTGTTTCTTTTATTTTTGGCGTGTAGTTAAAATGGTGCCAAGTAATTATAGGCTGCTTCTTGCTCATGAAATTCTTGTTGTTGCAATTTCAAAGTTTGTGAGTCTATACTTCCAATACTGTCACTCAAATACATGTGACAGACTAAATGCTTCTAAAAATGAATACAGGGAATATCACGAGAGCCAACGTTTTGACAAGGGAATTTTTCTACGAGAAGGCAACGCTTTTACGGTGATGAGCAGTAGTCAACTTGCCGAAACACGGTTTCCAGCGATGTTCTCTCTTGAAAGACTTCTGGTCGCCTTAAGCCTCTCTGTGCCTCTGAACTTAAGTCTCGTTTGATTCTCAAGTTCTGTAAGAAAATTATGCGTGCCGTAATAACAAACGTGATTGAGTAAAATACAATGTGTCCTACTCACGATTCTCGATCATTTTCGCATTGGTTCGGATATTCTGGGTTTAACGTTTGCTCATTATGTCTGTATGTCAGTTGTAAGTTAAAGCTGCTTTTATAGATTGACAGTTTCACCCCACGTGTATGTGTCTGTTTTTTATATATAGAAAACTTGAAATAAAAATTTCGTCTTACTGAGAAATCATTCAGGTTAGCTTTCGCTTCTTCAGAAAACACAAAAAAAAAAAGATTAACAAAATTTTTCGCATGTTCGCATCGCCCAAGCGGCGAGCGGACTTAAAAGGCACGAGCGCATTCCGCTTGCATGCTAAGTGGGAAAGGAGGGTTTTCACAGCAAACCTACTCCTCTCAATGTTTCGTCTTTTCCATCTATTTCGGCACCTCACCAGTGACGTTATGAAAAAAATGTTCTGCTCGTGATTTACTTCTGGTAGGATGCCTGGCAACCACTAGTGGTAAACGCGGCGCTGCTGCTAACGAAAGCGAATACATGGAAGGTATAGGGAGTTTCCGCCACCTGTCGTGAGCGTTAGGCTCTCACTATCCAATCAATGCCACGCATTTGTGGCCTTAGCTTTTCACCCTTGAAGACACTGCCATACTGTCCGTGTTTACGCCTACAGGTGATTATTCTTGGATACTTCTGGTTTGACTGCATACTTCGTTGTGTTTGCAGATTATCAGCAAGTTGATTGATTGATTGATTGATTGATTGATTGAGTGATTGATTGAGTGATTGATTGATATGTAGGGTTTAAAATTCCAAAACCACCATATGATCATGAGAAACGCAGTAGTGGAGGGCTCCAGAAATTTCGACCACCTTGGGTTCTTTCATGTGCACCCTGATCTGAGCACACGGGCCTCAGCATTTCCACCTCCATCGAAAATGCAGCCGCCGCAGCCGGGATTCGATCCCGCGACCTGCGGATCAGTAGTTGAGTACCTTAGTCTCTAGATGACCGCGGCGGGCAATTATCAGAAAGTAAAATGCGAATGGCTGGTATTGCCGTGGCACCTGGTGGAGCAGATCTTATGGTGGAGCATATGTTCTTCTTTCAATAAAGTCTAAGCAATGCGCTTCAATGCTGTGTCTGTGCACTACCAGAGTTGATTGTAAAGGCCATGCGAAGGGAACTCAATGTTCCCTCAATGTTTATTTCGAAACGAACACTAATAAATACATCACACGCATGTGTTTGTTTCCGGTTGTGGGCGCGTGCATATTTTGTTATATCACGTTGTTGATGATGACAGGGGAAGTCGGGAATGACGTACATGCGTGTGATGTATTTATTAGTGTTCGCTTCGAAATAAAATTTTCAGTTGCTAGTAAGCGCTTGTCTTTGTCCTCTCTGAGTGTGTGTATTTTTGCACTTGTTTCATCATGAACCTTCACCAACACGCCCAACTGACAGTCATCCTGAACTCAATGTGTTGAGTGTGCTGCCATCCCAGGCAATAACTGCACTTTCGATGAGTTAAGCAGTACCGAATAGGAGGGTAACAGGCCTAATAGTGCCTGGTTATAAGGTGCATAGGCGGCTTGATTTATGGGGCAAATGATTTGAATTACAAACGAATGTTGTCACTACTGCATACAACAGTCTGCCCCCCCCCCCCCCCCCCCCCCCCCCAGAGAACTCCATGCTTCATAAACCATCGGATGCAACAAACGCCATTCAGTACAGGCATACAGAGCTGTGATGCATTTCCGCATTGCCTGCAACACCTTCTCATGTTCTCTCGCCGGTTGCATGTGCTGTGGAATTTTGCTGCTGTCAGCGTTTTATTATTATGGTTGTCTGAATACCTTGTTTCCAAACTTTTTGTGGGCTAGGCTCACAAGTAGCCGCCTAGTAGTAGCCGGCATAAGTACATCAAAAAGGCGATGCCAACTATGACATGCTGGCTGGGCCAGCTCACAGCACGTCTTAACGTGGCAGAAGTTGCGTGTCGTCTTCAAATCACTTAAGAGGAAATGCTGCTCGAAGACACTTTTTTTTAATATTCACCGTATAGAAATGAAACTTGAGATGTTTATGGAACATTTTATGCTGATTTCAAATATATAATTAGTTTTTTTTTTTGCAAGTTGCCTATTTCTAGCTCTGCAACATGACAAAGTTAAAAGCTTAACCCTTTTGCCCCCCTCTTTTCATCCCTGAACTTCCATAATTTTTTACCATTCATAGTTCATAATGATTGAAATAAAGTGTAGAACGCAAATAACTAATTAGGAAGCACGTACAAAATATGTAGTAGGCGTGAAAAATAACAGACATAAAAAGCCCATATTTAACCTACCCTAGTAAAGGTTTACATAAAATTTTTTTTCCTATACAATAAAAATATTGATATTTAAACTAGATAATTGCATTTGTCATACTTTGTAAAAAAATTGGGCAAAATTTCATGCAGATCCGAGCACTAGAAGTGCCCGAAAAAGGATGGGCACATTGAAAAAAATCACAAAATTTGTGTTTCGTTTTAAAGTTAAAATTGAGTTTTTATTTATGAAAGATATCATTAAATCTGATGAAAGTTGACAACCAAAAAGAACAATCCTTCTTGTGGCCACTGCCACTAAAATATGCCAGCACCATAAGTTTGTCCCTCTCGTCTTTTTCGAGCCGAATCCTCACAGACATTTCGCTCACAGACAGGGCCATGAAACACTTGCCAAACTTCCGCTCCATCTTTCAGAGCCATGTGCCAACTGCAAGCTAGGAAGAAGTTCGACAGGACTGCGAAATCGAAACTAAGTCCAGTGTCATGCCATTTTGTGGCCATGTTTGTGCCACATACCATCGTACATAATGGCAATGTCGTTCCCGCTAAGTTCCCTCACTGCCAGCTCCTTCGACCTCGCAAGATTGGTGCTGATGTCATCCATTGCCGCTTCACGAGCTTTCCGTTTGACGGGTGTGAATGACTTTTGATGCATTGGCATTTACAAGCCAACAACGTCCGCAGATCGGACCAGCTGTGCGTAGTCTATTCCTACAGAGCGTGCCGCACAACGGCTTTCACTTGCGAGCAATGCCTTTTTTCTTTCATAACGGAGATAATTACACGAGAAAAGCATTGTTCAGCTGCACTGCCGGACAAGACATGGACACCGCAAATAGGCTTCACAGCACATACAGGCGCGCAGCGACCAATGGCGGTCCCCTGATTCGTACCACGTGATAAGCCAGTTGCGGCGCTCGAAAAATGTGCAGAAGCGTGCTTCTTTTATTTATTTGTTGTGCTGCATCAGCGATGGGAACTGTTGTTATTTGAAGAGTGACGCTCGACTCTTCGGCTCATGCAATCAACAATGGGGAGCGGCGGCACATTATCGGCGGCAAGGTGCTCGAAGACTGCACAC